TTCGTGGATGTTGACTATTTTGTTTAGTGGCATGTGTGAGATGGGTGATCTGTGTGAGTGGGTGGGGTGGTTTTTTATTGTGTTTTGCATGTTAGGTGTGTGGTTGGCGGAGCTGCTGGTAGCTGAAAAGTGAACAGCCATGGCATTAGCCTTTTCTTTGTCAGTATTTAGGTTAGGAAAAGTGGGGGCTGAGAAAGTTTTGGAGTTACCTTTAATGGCCTTAAGTTTTTTCATGAGAATTTTGGTGTTTTGTTTCCCCATTTTCAAGGTGCTGGTAAAAGTTTCCCAATGTTTTCTTTTGGCTGCTATTATGAGATGCTTGGTTGAGTTTCTAAGGTTTCTAGCCAAGGGGAGTTTGGTTATGTCCCGCTTGGCTTTATTTAATGCTTTTTTCTCATTTTTCTAGATTTTTCTATTTCTGAGCTCCACCAATGCATTGTGTGGCTATTTTGTGTATAGTGTTTGTTAGGTTTGAGTTGAAAATGTCATTGTCAATGTTTTTGATGTGGTAAATATTTATTTGGTTGCAAAGTGTGTTGAATGTTTTCCAGTCAGCCTTATTGAAATTAAATTTGGATTGCTGATGAGTGGTATGGTCTAAAGGAGGGTTATTTGGGGATGGGGTTGGGGATGAATTTGGAATATGGGTAGGGAATGAGACATATATTTTTATGGGCATGTGGTCAATGCCCCAGGTGTCCGAATGTACCTCCCAGCTTAATTTTGAATGGAGTGAGGGTGTGCTAATGGCTAGGTCAACTGCTGTAGGGATTGGAGATGGTTTAGGGGGATTCTAGTAGGTTGATTATCGTTTAAGAAAATGAAATTATTGGTGTCTATCCAATCATAAATTAGTTTGCCAAATTTGTCAGTTAAGTTTTTTGTGCCCCACAGTGGATGTTGGGCATTGAAATAACCTAGAAAAATGGAATCAAGTGAAAACATGTCACCTAGAACAGTCTTGTGTTCCATTTGGTCACTGGGGGTTGTAAGGTTTATGTCTTGAAGACAATGCTATCTTCACCGGTGTGTGTGTGTGTGTGTGTGTGTGTGTGTGTGTGTGTGTGTGTGTGTGTGTGTGTGTGTGTGTGTGTGTGTGTGTGTGTGAGTGAGTGAGTGAGTGAGTGAGTGAGCGAGCGGGTGTCTATACTGTACCATAGTGAGGTAAAAATGAGACAAGTTTTTTATCAATTATGTAAGGTAAACGTTTAATTCAATGAAAAGAATGCCACCATACATGAAGTTTATGCAAAATGTATTGATTCCGGTTGATATCCCTATGCCTTTTCACATGAAGACCTGATCTTTAGTCATTTAGGCTTTATATCTTTCAAGCAAATTATTTCTCAAACACTTCCTCAAAGGTTCCATGATAAAATCAATAACAGTTTGATAGACTGAGTGTAATGTCAGTGGCTTCTTCAACATAACATTTCCTTCTGATTCATACAACTACACTCAGAAGTTATTAATCCAGCATGTGCAACCAAATCTGGATTTGAGAAAGTATGATCCATGATGTTTTACTAACACCTCAAAGTTTTGGGGTAATTTTGAGACAACTAAAAGCAAAATGAATCCTAAATTATATTCCTTCTTGTAAGTGCCATGGGAATGTGAAAAATCGGAACAGAGGAGTTGTCTCTTTAGAATTACATTACCTTCTGGTACAGATCTAGACATAAGCTTGGCGGGCATACAACCTTGCTAAGACGTCCATATTTGGCTATTAATCGATACCAAAACATGTCTGAAGAACTACAACTCGTTCACCCTAACAATGTTTAAGCACGTCATAATCATTAACTGGCTTTAAAAATAACCTTGCCACAGAATGATGCCTTCAAAGCGTTACACACAAAATAATAAGGCTTTGCAAATCTCGCAAAACAATGATACAAACAGTCTTTGCCCATAAGTAAAATGTGTTTAAAAAAAAAGTGAAATCGGTTTAACAAAACATATGGAGCTCAGTTGCACAACTTGTTGAAACATATTTAATCTGAAAATAGTTCCTTGAACAAGGTTTATCAGATATGATAAACTAAGGTTTGGTCAAATAACCCATTAACAAGTGTACCTACACTTGTTGCACCAATAAAACGTATATAACATTCTTTTTTGAACAAAGTATGTCCTCAACATATAACAAGACAGAAGAGGAAGTGCATCTACACTCAAGGAAGCACTAGTGCTGATATGTCATACTGCATTAAACAGTTCCTGTTGTAGTGATATACTTCTACAAATTGCCCACTATATTATGTCTCAGTCACTCAGGCCACATGACCGTATATTGTAACCACATTTGTCACACACTGAACATTTTGTTTTCAGTACAACTCTTTTACAACATTCAAGGGATTCAAGCCTATTCTGTTTCAGAATGATTTGTTTGAGAGCTTCCCTGCCCTTATGAGAAGTAGAGCGAAAATACCATTTAGTTGTATTGTCATTTAACTTTTCAAATCCTTGTTGGCTGAATGTCACCAAATTACCATGTATCTTAAGCATATCTGTGATGTGATATGCCAAAATATGCATATAAGGCGTCACATCTTTGCTTTGGTAAACAAGTCCAAAAGTGGCCACCCACCTTTTACATCTCTCATCAAAAGCTAAAACTTCACTCTGTTCAAAGCTTTCTTCTTGAAGCTGATGATAAATATGTTTCAGTTCACTCCACAACAAAGATATCGACTGTAATTTGGAATGTTGGGGAATGAAATCAGCAAGGATTATGTTCTCTGCAATTTTCCTGTGCTCAGGACCAGTAAAATCTCTAAACCTAAACCTACCAGACTCCCTATCATATCTGAATTGAAAATCAACTCCCAATCCTTTAACAAGATTTTCAAATTTTGATACATTAGAGCACTTGCCTCTGATGTAAATACTGGTGCATCTGGCAATGTTGTCAATTAACCGGAGTTCTGATATCAAATGCTTCACCAGTTGGTCAGAAATACGAAGATAGAGGTGTAATATGTCAAAGAGGGGAGTGTGTTCAAATTTTGTGATTTCTTTCTGGCCAAAACAGTGATCTCCTCTATTGTTCTAGCCCCATGGTTCACGTCAGTCACTGACCACTGCAAAGTAGTATTGTGTCTGTCTGAAGCCGAACATTTACACCACAGACAACTGTGTTTACATGAACAAGACGCAATACCAGAGATCATATTGAGAAATTTCAAATCCCCTCCCAGGTAAAACTTGATTTGAAAGCATACACCAACAAGTTGAATATATTCAAGTCCTTAGCTTCTTCAATAATTTGAGAAAGAGCAGTTGAAACACAATCATAAGTTTCCTTGGCAGAAAATAATGTTAACAGATGGTTTCCCTTTACTGAAGTACACAGCATAGCATCTAGTATTGTGAACCCAAAATTGATAAGAGCTCTCCTTCTCCCAAACTGTGTTCAATCACCTGTAAGTTTCACACGAATAAGTTTTGTTTGTAAAATGTTTTTGGTGTCATGTTTCATTTCAAGAATTTGTGAAACACAGCTAATGAGTCTTTCTTTCAAAGACTGCTGAGGCCCAAAGCTTTGAAATGGTGTGTCATGAAGTAAAACATTTTCGTTGCATTCCTTGATTTTTTAAAGAACCTTTTTGTGAGTTTGGAAGGGTAGGTACTATCGTTGATAGTTCATGGTAAGCCTTGTTTGAAATACCTTCTGAATCTTTCACATAAACAACTTTGTTCAACTCCACATTAGGAGGAATGGTTTCTTTGACCATGTTCTCCTTCCCAGAGCTTGTGGTGAAATAGGTTCAAGCTCATATCTGTCCAAAAATGCTAAAGATTGTTTATAGTCTCTCACAATCATATGTTTCCTTTTATACTGTTGGGATCTTGACACCTCCCCATTAGGAAAACGAAATTCCAATGAGCGTCTATTGGACACACGTGAAAGCAAATTCGGTAAAAGTAAGGATTTGGCCTTTCTAACAGAAGATTTATACTTGTGTAGATAAGACACGCTTTTAACATTTTTGATTTTAATGTTTTTATGTTGTGTTCAGACACAAATACTTTGAAGGAATATTGTTCCTTCTCCCATGCACATTACAGAGTCTTATACTGCTTCCCACCCTTCCGTCTGGTTGTATCATGTTTTGAAACAAGCTTTTCAAATATGAAGCCACTGTAGATGACATTTTGCCATACTCAACAATACTGCAGTCAATCTGATTTTGTCTGCAGACAATAGTTATTATTTCATTGCATATATCTTGTGAAAATGTGTTTTTCACCGGTGTTAATCTCTTAAATTCTTGAAAAAGTGTCAGTTTTGATACACTTACATTAAATACATCTGATATGCCAGTCATTCCTGATCTCCTAGTCATGTTGTAAGTGGCATGATTGAGCAGTATGTAACACAATAGAACAGAGACACAATGGGTGGCCAATTCATACCTAAGTTGTATAAAACAGATACATTCAAAGATTTCTTGAAACAATGTGCAGTAAAAACAATCTTCCTTCAAATGCAAATTATAGCAATACAAGATTTCAAACCTATTTTACCAACATTATCAAATATTTGTTCCCAAAATCTGTCTCAAGTAAGTTACTGTCCAAAATATGTATTTTGTTAAATGTGGGCAGATTTCAACAAGCCGTTGTGAAATGTAAGTGAGTAGATAAAAAAGCTTTCTTGAGTTAGGATTCAGTTGTTCAGTATGCACCGTAAGAGACACATATAATTTCTGTTACCCTTTTCCTTGACAAATTTGAGGAAAAACATTAAACCTCTATGAGCAACCTTGAGCTCATTGTTCAGGGTGTACTCCTCACGCATATTTCGCTCATAGTAACCAAACAAAACTGTTGCCCTATTGACACAAGCAAAATCATTTGCTTTGTTAACAATTCTGTATCACCAATCGTTTCCAAATATGATGTCTGGTCCATGGACATCATTGAACCTGAACTCATGTCTTACATAACTGGACCTTGGTGAAACATTTCGGGCAATATCAGTGAGGGAGATGGTCATATCTGGAGATGCTATTGGTATCCGAATTACAACCTTTGAATCCACCCCTCTGGAAACAGTGAGAATGTCCTTCACCAAGGACAAGACATTAAAAAGAAAAACATCATTCGGGTCACTGCTGATAAGGGATGACCTTGTTACAGTGGCAGATGCCTTCACCCACTGGTCATACTTTGTGGAAAACCCAATGTAGTGGACCTTTACCAAATCAGTTCCATCTGCATCAGTTTTAGAATCAACAATCTTTACATAAAAAAGCTGAGAACATCTCCAACCTTTCTCCTTTGGTGTACTAAATGTCACAGCAAAAAAAATTCGGTTTCCGGTATCCGGATACACCTTCCCCAAACGCGTCCGGGTATCCGGTGGCAGATACCTTGCCGGATACCAGATCCATGGTATCCGGCATGGACACCTCACTGGAAAGTATGCCACCTGGAATCCGTGTATCCGGCATCGGATACCTGACCGGATACCTCAATCTGGGTGTCCTGGGATCCGGCACCAGATACCTCATTCTGAGTTTCCAAAAACATGTCACAATTTGGGGGGTGCATTTTGTTCAATTAAGTGTGAAACGCCTAAAAATATATTGGAAACTAACCATGCAAATTGAACATTGCTGAAGGTATCCGGCAGGTATCCGTATGCATTTTTTCGAGATGTCTTTCTGCTAGTCAATAATGTTAGCCTGGGCATAGCAGATAGCTGTAGTAATATTCTGTGTCATTTTAGTTGTAATTATCCCCTTAAAGTTGAGATCTATGGGCATGCACTTTTGGTGAAAACATTTTTCAAGTTCACATATATTTCAATTTAGATGTTCAGCGTATTAAATGAAAAGCATTCAGTCCTGGTATGGTGGTATCCTTACATTTCATCTTCATATTCCCAGTTGGTTCTAGCCTAGTGGTTGAAGCGTTCGATTCACCACATCGGTACATTGCTTGGTGTCACCCATCATGATATTGTTGGAATTTTGCTTATAAAGTGGCATAACACCATACTCACTCTGACAAAAAAATGAAAGTCATTGGCTATGTGCTCACTTGGGCCTTTGTTCCTGGTGAGATTGATAGTTTTTTTTTGGAACTGTATCAGTACTTGTTACATCTTGACAGACGAGTTTCATTGAAGTTTTAAACAGAATATCATTAACCCAAATGGGTGCATAAGACTAATGGCATCCACAGAAAACCCCTAATAAAGTACCAGTACATAAAAATATCTAAGGTAATTTTTCTACTGACATGGAACTAAAGACTTTGTTCAGTGAGCTGTATTAATTGTAGGAAAACATTCAGGGCATTAGTATATTTGATATATGTTAGCACCTATGTAATGAATGATCAATATCATATTTCTTAAAGAAGCAAAACCAAAATTTTGTAAAGATAAAAAATCTTATTTATTGATTTTATGACATTTCATTGGTTCAGTAACCAGAGGTGTTTGCAAGAACATTCAAAAACAGAAACAGATGCTTCAATGCCATTTTCTAAATAAACAAATAAGTCAAATCTCAGAAGAATTTCAAGGTAGAAGAATATCTAAAGTCAATTGTGTTTGTGCAGTAAACCACAAAAGTCATTCAGATTTGTATAGTCAGCGTCAGTGCACACCACATAAACATAGTCTCACTGCTGTGGTATGATTCCTTTAGACTTGATTAATGTTGTAATAAAACAACCTACAGAATCACACTGATGTGGCATTATTCATTCAGAATCATCACTTTCTGAGGTGAACCTGTTAGTTGTTCTGGGGAGGATTATTCATCATCCGGAGAGACTTGTCTGATCTGGTGTCATTGTGAAATCCAGGTACTTGAAACAGTTTATAACATCTTTAAGAGCTTGTTATTAAAAATATAAGAAACACACATATCATGACAAAGGGTAAAAAGTTGGTTTCTCAATGAGTAAGGTAATGACAATTTATCAAGCAACTGTTAACCAAACCATGTTAACCAGTGTAAAAAAGCCATAGCAAACAGTAAATTTTACAGAAAATAATTGAATAAATGTAATTGATCTTCTGAAAACAATCCCTGTAGTGCCATAAGGCTCACCTGAATTTTTCTCAAATGTTTGCATTACATCAAAATATAAGGAAGGGTAAACAAGGCAATGCAAAATTGCATAAAATAGGTTCTTATACATAAAAACAGAACTACCGTATTTGACGTAATAAGCGCCTCGCTCTAATAAGCGCCCATGGGAATATTTGCTAATATATTGGCTAGTGAACAATCCCAATTAGCACCCTTTCCAATTGATCAATGTATACAAGACTTATTTATTTGCGTATAATACACACTAGTGTGTGATATGCACCCTTAATTATGGGGAATTTAATTCTGGAATAATATATTTGTCGTACATAAACATTTCAGGTTGCCAGAATAAACCACGAAATTTTGAGAGCGCCCTGGGCGCTTATTACGTCGAATATTCATAATTATCAAAACTTTCAATCACACAAGTCATGTAAGTGATCTCAAAATACTATATAATGAGTGAGCAAGTAAGTAAGTGTCACACAGCTTTTAGCAATATTCCAGCAATATATCTGTGGGGACACCAGAAATGGGCTTTTCACACAATACCTGTGTGGGGAACAGAACCGAGTGCTTCGGAGAACGCATTACCCACTAGGCTACCAAATACAAATATCATCTCAAATACAAAAGTAAGTAACATTAGGATTTCATACAACAGATATTTTCGCCAAATATCAAGTCACTATACAACTGATTGAATTACTGATTGGAGGAGCAAATACATTTCAATGTAGCAGCGGAATCAGGCTTAATTTGAATTGGTCGAGGGGGTTGGGGTGGGGGGTGGGGGGGGGGGGGGGGGGGGGGGTGGGGGGGTGCGCACCCCCCTTTTTATTTTGAAAACAATCTTTATTTCTGTATAAATTACAACCAGAGACACTCAATAGATCTTAATTGTGCACCCCCCCTTTTCAAAATACCTGTATCCGCCCATGATTAGTCATGAGTAAAATCATTATCATATTTTTATCATTTATCCTATCTTTAATTAAGATTAACAATAACGGGAAAAACTGCCAAATATATTGGTCAAGTGTTATCATAATTTAAGTAGTTCTATTTGGTTTTGGAACTTTTCAAGGGTAATTGTAAATATATGTGTATTCCTATTTGAATACTCTTTTGATTGTTATAAAGTTACACAGTATTGTGGAATATTCTATGTTATGAGGGCAATGTGTGGAAATTGTGGCTAGTAGACGGTATACGAGGGGACAAGAGTGTGCCTCTCGTATCTCTATCACACATTTCATTACATCAAGACCAGCTTTCTTGTGAATAACATCATCCCTGATTTCCTGCCTTGACCTTTCTCGGAAGCTCAACCACTGTCACCGCTGAGTGCCTATACTATTATCATTGACTTTTGCTGTCACCACTGTATTTTTGTATTTGATATTGACCAGTGCCATCATATTATGTACTTTACTTTTACTGTCATTCAATTTTGTACTGCCACTCTATTGTGTACTGCCATTGTATTTGCTGTGCAGTAATTTGTATTGATTTGTAAACCGAGGTAATTTCATAATACGTTTGTTGTTTGTTCTCCATTTGTTGGTTGCTTGTTGGTTTCACACTAAGTTGTAGTACGCACTGATTCCTGTGTAAACATATTGTTTCAATTTTGGAATCGACACGTAACAACTGGCAATTTAGATAAATATCAAAACAGTGTCATAAGATAATTGAATACATAAATTCAAATACGTAATAATGCATATATATTACATGTATACTCTTCAATAAAAGAAACTTGACACCGTCTTTCAAAATTAAAGATAAAAACAATGAAATAGGACACAGAAACCATAATTAAAACAGCGTTTGAGGATCAATGTACACAATGTTCAAAACATTAATCGTGTCGCACAGACAGACACACGTGCACAATAGAGTTAATGTCACAGGGGCACAGGAAATGTCAGTATCGTTTGTGACCATCACGTGCATCAATTACCGCTTGACACTGACGACCAATAGATGCAATCAAGTTGTGAATAACACGCTGTGGAAGTGCTGCCATTCATGCTGAAGTGCCACAAGAAGCAACAAGAAGTGTTTCGGGTGGTTGAGTCCTGCGCACGCGCCGATCAAACTCGTCCGTCAGATGCTCAATCGGGGACAATTCTGGATGTTGTTGCGCTGTAGAAAGTCCTGACAAACACGTGCAATATGCGGTCGAGCGTTGTCTTGCTGGAATTGCCCAGCGTGAACGTTGAAGTGAGGCAGAAAGTAAGGCTGTAGGATCAAGTCTCTGTAAGGCACGCCTGTCAGGGTACCTGCCACATGCACGAGAGGTGTCCTACCATCGTGATGAATTCCAGCCCATACCATGACACTCCCTCCGCCAAATGGGACAACCTTCTGCACACAGTTGGGGGCGTAACGTTCACCCCGACGTCTGTAGACATGTGTGCGCCCATCAGCACGTGTGAGTAGAAAACGGGACTCATCAGTGAACAGTACATTTCTCAACTTTGCACGTGCCCATCTCAACCTCTGTTGACACCAATGCAGACGGTCTGACAGATGACATGGGTCAATACATGACATCGAACATGTCTTCGAGGAAAAAATGCGGCCTCCCTCAATCTGTTGCGTACTGTTTGATCTGAAATTCTGCGTAGCCCAGGGATCTGTGTGGTTGTAGACGTTGCTGTGGTAGTGCTTTCTCGTAGGTGACGCAACCGGATGTATCGATCTTGTGCTTGGGTTGTCACCCTTGGTCTCCCTGACCTTGGTCTGTCGTCATCTCTGTTGGTGTTGTTGTACTGGGTCCATAATGCGGAGATTATCTGTCTGGATGCGCCAAAGTGCCTGGCCACATCTCGCTGAGTTGCTCCAGCTTGTAATCTGCCAATGGCGTTGTGGCATTCTGTCATCGCGTCTACTGTCGTTATAAGGTCTGTGTGAACGCCTGTTGATGTGGTTTGTATACCCCTTTAGCAGGGGTGCATGCATGCATAAATGCAGGATCCTGTGCTGCACGTTTTTTATCCACCCGGCATATAATGCGGGGGGATATAGCGATCAGCCAGTCTGTCTGTCCGTCCGTCTGTCCGTCTGTCCGTCTGTCCGTCTGTCCGCCCGTAATCATTTAATTTTTCGGGGCAGAATTCCAAAACCATTCACTTTATTTTATCGAAACTTGGCAAATCTATCAGGCACATACTGAAGTGGTGCCATTTGATATTTTGGGATTTTTCTAATTTTTATTTTTAAAAATTTTAATGGAATGAAGTTGGACATAGACTCAATTGGGAAGGGGTTCGTTTCCGGGGCAGAATTCGAAAACCATTCAGTGTATTTGATCGAAACTTGGCAAATCTTTCAGGCAGATACAGAAGTGGTGCCTTTTGATATTTTAGGGATTTTTCTAATTTTTATTTTTTTTAAATTTTAATGGAATGAAGTTGGACATAGACTCCATTGGGGATGGGGTTCGTTTGCGGGGCAGAATTCGGAAACCATTCAGTGTATTTGATCGAAACTTGGCAAATCTATCAGGCACATACTGAAGTGGTGCCTTTATATATTTTGGGATTTTTCTAATTATTATTTTTTTAAATTTTTATGGAATGAAGTTGGACATAGACTCAATTGGGGATGGGGTTCGTTTCCTGGGCAGAATTTCCAAAACCATTCAGTGTATTTGATCGAAACTTGGCAAAGCTATCAGGCACATACCGAAGTGGTGCCTTTTGATAATTTTTGTTTTACGAATTTTTCTTTTTTACAAATTTTATGGAAAGAAGTTGGACCTAGACTCCATTGTGGAACGGGTTCGTTTCCGGGCCAGAATTCGAAAACCATTCAGTGGGTAAACAATGTATGCTTCTTAAAGAACATTCAACTGTTGACTCATTACATAGAGAATTGCACATTTACTAGTGGTAACTTTACATACAGCTGCCGGGAGGATATGTCACCTTTCTGGTGACTCTTGTTTACAGCCGGTTGCGTTTGGATGAATCTGTAAAATTGATCCCTTAATGCTACCTTTATGTGGTTTGGATGTTTCCGCGAAATATGGAAACATCTTCCTTCTGTTTGACTAATTCTAATCACATTTCATTTAATGATTTTGGATATTTTGAGAAAAGTGGTTTTACATCTATGTCAGGTTTCTTTTTTTGAAGAGTATATATCACTAACTTGTATGAACGATCGTAGTGATCAACTTGAAATCCACGCAAGGGATGATTGTGGTCACTCAATACGTTGAGGTGTAATGGTTGGTGTGCATGTGAAATGCTGAGTTCTAGGATGTCTAGACTGGAACAATCAGGTGTAAGGTGACTTAAACAAAGAAACAACAGAAAACATTCCAGAATGACCCAGCCTACCTATCATACACCACAACTAATTATTGTTGAAGCTAAGGCTTAAATAAAGAGTCGATTAAAAAAAGCACATAGGTTAAGTTTCTGTTGAAAAAAGCATTGCAGAGTACAACAGCTGTAAATGTTTACTACATTAAAATACAGAGAGTGCCTGTATATACAACACTGCCACATGTACATGTACTGCAAATGTACAGTAGAACATGGATATAACAAGCTATAAGTGAACTGAGAAATCCGTTCGTTATATACGTTTTCGCTCGGAAACGACCGCCATCTTGGCTAAAGCATAACACAATACACATACACGTTTATACACGTTTCCTCCCGCAATGATACAACTTCAAAACATTTTGATATATTCCAATCTCATGTTATTTTAGTTGCAGCTGTCACGATATATATTCAAAATTATAAGAACCATAAACGTAGCACTTTGGTAGAGGTGATTGCTATTGCCGGATATTTTTATGTATTAGCAATTATTGTTTTACAGACAAGATTGGTCCAAATTTACATGGACAGGTAAGATTAGCATGTAAATTTAACAAGGTCGAATCGTCACCAGTGATTGTGCTGATTCGCCGCTGATTGCGTACAGCCAATTATCAGTGACACTTGACACTGAGTGAGATTTCTCAGTTCGCTATACACGTCACGAATTAGTGGTAGATGGGCCTTGTCGGTGATCAGATATCAGTTTGCCTAATCCGTAAGTTCGCTGTAGAGTGTTCGTTATGTACGTACATTTTATATGATAATATATAGGAGATTAATCAGGGATTTATTAAGTTCTTTGCATCCGTTTGTTCGCTCTATCCGTGTTCGTTATATCCATGTTCTACTGTAGTCTTATTCACGTACCGCCCCCGTGGTCTAGTGGTAGAGCGTCCGCCCGGAGAGCGGAAGGTCCGGGGTTCAATCCCCGGCCGCGTCATACCAAAAGACGTTAAAAGATGGTACTTGTTGTTACCCTGTCTGGCGCTCGGCATTAAGGGGCTAAAACAAGGACTGGTCGGCTCGGAGTCTGTATACTGTGTCTGAGTGGGGTATTCATGTTAAACTGGGGCATGGTATCTCAGTGAGCTAGCACTATAAATCGGCATCAGTCCGGACTAGTACAAGCAGCCACTCAAACATCGCTATATAAGTGCAATAATCTTGGACGCGACGTTAAACCCCATTTCACCTCACCTCACCTCTTATCCACGTGTTTGTGACTATGTCTTTTATGTAAGCTCTGACATTTTTGTTAGTTTATATGATGTTTTTCAGTAGTCAGTTGGATGTTACATGTATACAAGGTACACTGCTAGAGCATTGACCTTACTTAATGTGATATTTTGCGTTCGCTGTTGCAAACAAACTTTCATCAATAAGTCACACTCTTCGTTTAATAAGTGATACATGCAAGTCTACCTCTGTCAAGCTTTCATAAATCTTCTCTCTTCCAGTGCCGACAACTGAACATGTCAGGGTCGGCAGCTATGCCACGTTGTCATGGACTCTCCCGGAACCTGGGACCAGGGAGTTCAGTGTCTGTAAAAGTGAGACAAAGACATGCCTTCTTCACGTCACAGACCACAATGATGTCAGAGCTGCCAGTGACAAGTTCACATCTAGAGTGAGATTCATTGGAAACGTGTCATCATCGGGAACTGGTTTGTTTAGATTCGTGCTCTCTGATGTAAGTTGGGAAGACGAAGGTCATTACAAGTGTTACAGAGGTTCACCTGGATCAGGGGGACCAATCATCCCTGACTGTGGACAGAAGCTGGTAGTGCAGGGTAAGTTATATTGAATAGTATTGAGAAAGTTCCGTCTACTATCTGATACGTATCCGTTGCCTACGAAATGCCTGAAATATAACTTTGATATTCATACTGTTTGATAATCTTGACATCTTGATTAGCTTTCTCACAATGTATGTGTTGGTTGACATTTTAGAAACTGTTAAATACCACGACTAACACTTATATGGATATATTTTGGATTTATTGGAAATGTAGTTCCAATGTACATGTGGTGTTGTTCAAATAGAGACAACCTTCTGCATAGTTCTGACACTGTTATTGCATGTGTTTACTTTTCGTTGGTCAACTATCGTTGCCAATATAATTGCTACACCCTGAATGTTTGTGCTTGTAAATGTCACTTATGTCTGCTCTACAACAATGAAATACGTCATGATAAGGATTTAGAAAGGTAAAATAATCCACAATCATAACTTTTCTTGAATTTGCTTGTAATACTGACATGTCAGTTAAACTTCTTACCTCAGTATTTCTGTTTCATTCAGAAATTTCGTAAATGAGATCCATGAAATCAAGTTATATACACATTCACACCGACTGCTGTCATTGGGTAAAACAAACAACAAGAGGACAGTCATTACTCTTTAATGCTTTAATGCATTTTGAACAATTCTGAACCACGAGATAGTTATGGTTTAATGTAAAAAACATTTCAAGAAATTCTCCTTATTCCAGTCTGTGGAATTATACCTCTTTTCATATGACATGAAAACCCTGCCAGCATAAACAGCAGAGGTGTATCCGTAAAACAAGTAAATACTTCTGTGCATTCCTTAATTATCGAATACAGATCCTGCAGCACAGCGACAGGGCAACTGCTACTCTTATCAGATCATTCCATGGCAGCAAGTCGCAAGCCATGGAAGTCAGCCTGTCTCTACCTGTCAGTTGTCAACTTCAAGTGATTTTAAAATGCTTTTTTTCGTATGTAACAACATGACTGCAGCACGTAAAACACAACCTCTTGTGATGCTTTTTATCAACCGGGCCCACTGCACAGATCATCCTTAGTTACCATCGACCATAGGTGCTTACAATCCACTTTACAAAATACATGCCTGGGTCATATTCCACTTGCACAAACTGATCTTTGCGCTGTTGTAAGACAGTTTGGATTTTAAATCGCGATCTTGCCTCAGATTGAAACCTTCAACAGTGAACATATGATTACCTTTAATTTGATTTCTGTCTTGAAGTGGCTGCAAAAGCGCATAGCCTGCTGCATATATCTACAGTGGAACCAGTTAGGTGCCTTCCATCACACCTTGCATCTTGTTTTAACAAAGCTTTAAAAAAATCAAAGGAAAAGATTACAAGGAAGATTGACTATACTTTCTTCTTTCTTTCTTCCTTTCATCCTGGATCGACACTTTCAAGATTTAAGTATTATGGTTTTGTAACAGTAGCAAGATATATACCCCAACCATGTTTTATGAAACTGTTGAAATAAGAAAGAACACCTCAATAAAGTTGGCTCTAGATTTAGTAACTGTTCAGCATTCTAGAAGTTATGGAGTACATATTTAAAAAAAACATCATAATACTTATGTCACTAAGCTAAATAATGAAAAAATGGTATGAGAGTATCGTAATGTAATAACATAAATATTATGGAAATTAACATAAACAATATACAATAACAGCAATATGTTCTCATAACCTAACATGAAACCGACTGGTGGTTTTTATTAGAATTACCTGTCCCTGCCAGAGCCAGCTGCACATTGACAGGGAGTTTCCAAGTCCAACTAGGGGTTATAATCAAGCTACCCAAAGCCAACATTATCACAAGTTGTTCAAAAAGGTACTAGGGGGGCTGATCGATAAAGGGGCGATATTAGACATGAGTAGGTATCCTTCTACAACCACGAGACCTCAATCAAGTCGGCCATTTCAGGTGACATATCCTGCTTTTAGGAGGCAATCCAGTATAGGGGGTAGGCTAAGAACTTCTGGGGACGTGCTCGTGTTTTATACTATAACGACGATTCCAACGACTGTACAATATTTTAATGATCTTATTTTTGGAGACATTGAACTAAATCACAGGGAACTGACTCGACAAATTGGCAGTACTGGACGAAGAAGGAGATTTTCTAAGGCACTAAAATAACAACTGGTGTTTACCGACCAGAGAGTGTTTTATGATAAAAAACATTGACTATTAATTTCTTCTCTCATTTTCCAATGTAATTCACTTCAAATTTCTTCTCTTTTTCTTAACTGCTAAGAAAAACGTTAACATTATCACAAGGTAATGAGCCTGCTGAATGTTACCCTGTGAGATCTGTCTCGTCTATCACGAATATGATGCTATCTACAGGTTCAGCCATTTCCAATTTCCTCCACTAGTTATTGGATACTTTTAGGAAAATAATCCCCTTCTCCCTTAACCCCCCCTTTCATGCACGCAAAATATAAAACATATACTTATTGAGATCTTTATATAATTCATACAATAAACTAATGTTCATTCAGTAAGATATTGATGGTTGTGAGGAACAGTCGCTTTGAATATTTATGATTTAACACACAAATTTATGTACAGATTGACAGATTAAAATAATATGAATATCAACACTTGCCAAGTTCACCAATATGTCACCAATTGGAAGTTGTCACAGATTATTATCATCAGTTATAGGTTTTACTTTGACTTTATAGTCAGTATATATAAACCATATTCTATTCTATTCCATTCCATTTTATTCTATTCTATAATAGAGTATTATAGAGTATTATTATTTTATAGAGTATTATATTATATTATAGAGTATTATATTGTATTATATTATAGAGTATTATAGAGTATAGTAGATTTATAGGTATAAATTTTGATTATAAATCATAAATGATTTATGTATATATGTAAATACGGATACATAAAATATAATACTAGAACCTATGGCTTGTGTTACAGAGGGAGAAATATTAAGGCCTAATATAATAGTAATGTATAGCTTTGTTAGAGTTAAACCATAGCAGGATATAGTATTATAAACGGTTAGGCTATTTGTTAGCATAAGGGGCCTGGTAAATGTAGGAAAACAGAAGTAAAGTCTAGCCTTAACAGGGACACGACGTCGATCTTTTTGAAGCATTGTTTTCACACAACAGCCGATAATCCCTCAGCTTACTCTGCTATACTCGCGAGAGAAGTTCCTGCTCTTGTGACCTACTGCGAGAGTAGGCTTCCTTCCCGGTGTAGGAGGCTGAAATGACTCCACAGGCTCAGACAACTCTAGAGTTATTTGAGCCTAGGCTCAGATGACTCCCCTCAGGCCTAAACGACTCACCCGTCGTAGGCTCATATAACTCCCTAGGCTCAAATGACTCCCCCATTTGTTTTCAACTATACATATGTTTTGACCCTCATACTGCAACAGTCTGTGAATGTCGTGCACAAATAATATATTTCCGATGATACAGTACAGTATTTTCGATGGTTGCACCCCATTTAGTTTACAGATTGTAAAATTACCAGATTTTTTGCATAAAAAGATTTTATGTGATAAATTTGAAGGACATTATCAAGTCATTTCATTTAAACTGTTTACATACAGTTACACATCAGCAACCTTTTTTCTGACATAATAGCTGGATATGATGTAATATTGACGTTTTACTGCTGTACTTGTTTAACTTATGAAAAATTTGTATTCATTATTCTGTTTGATTTACTTTGTATTTCAAATAATACTGCACCTGATGTTTGATTGTAATGTCTGTAATATTTTTAAGAGAGATAACTAATTGTCACCTTGACCTGTTTGACAATCTTATTTCTGCATGTAAAATGTTCATATGCATGCACGATCATTATGTAACAAAATTAATGGAAATCTACACTACATTTCAAAAGTAACTTCCCCTGTATCGCGAAACTATTTCGCGATACGTTCGTGAAAGTGCCGTGAAAGTATCGCGAAAGTGACTCGAAAATGGCGCGATAATACCGCGAAAGTGGCTAGAAAATGGCGCGAAAGTCGCGCGTAAATGGCGTGAAGTTTCGCGTTAGTGGCGCAAAAGTGCCGCGATAGTGCCGTGAAAGTGGCGCGAAAGTGGCGCGAAAGTGGCGCGATAGTGCCGTGAAAGTGGCGCGATAGTGCCGCAAAAGTGGCGCGATAGTGCCGTTAAAGTGGCGCGATAGTATCGCGATAGTGCCGCAAAAGGGGGTAATAGTGCCGCAAAAGTGGCGCCATATTGGTACACTACATGTACATGTACACCTCAGAAATGCTGTCGCGTGTTACTTCCACATGTATATAGGATGCGAAGATACATGTACATGTACATGTACATGTATATTCATTCTAACCTGGAGCTATATTAAGCGTGTTCCTCTGGTTATATTTAGAGAGGTGTGGGTGGTTACGTCCACTAACAGTACACTGCTTTACATGGATGTTCTTAAAAAGTGTATTTTTCGTGTATGAGAACGTAATTCCCAATGGTGCCTGAATACACTGTTTTTTCTAGATTCACCCAGATTTTGGTTCTCGGTTCATCTGATTCATACAACTAAGGATTTACGTTCTGAAATGCTGAGTGTTAACAGCGGCCATCACAGTCTCTGTTTCATTTCATTCAAGATTCAGGATAAACCACATTTCGGTTTGATGTGCCTATGAAGCTTATACTTCTGATATTGGGGTCTTTAAGTTTCCTTAAAACGAAATAAAAATCAGATGATACACGGATGATACATACATATGCAAGGAAGAGAATTTATGGATGACAACTTCTTTAATATTAGGAACACATTGTTTCGGAGTAATATTCCTCGAGTGAAGGAATAAGTATACACCCCGAAACGCTGTGTTCCCGATAATATACAATGTAGATGTTTCCCTTATGTGTTTCACTTCTAAATGCTTTTCAAAGTCATCATACATACATGGTTTTAAAATTATGGGTCAAATACTGCGTTGTTTATCTGTTCAACATAGTGGTAAGTTGTAAATGAGTTTCTG